AAATATCATGGTGCACCGACCCTAATCTTATCATATACTTTCTTCTTGTCTTAGAATTAGATTCGACGTTGAAACGCTTTTAAAAAACAGTGCCAAGAAAACGGATTCTGTTCGTATGGATTGACGCAAGAATCCTTATACTTATACCTGAATATTTGAGAGGCAATGGCTTGCAACTATTTTACACGGCGATATCAACTTTCGTTTGCCCTGCCTAAAATACGATTACATTTTTCTTAACTCCAAAGTTTATGCGGCGTGAATACAGCACACGCGGAAAAGAATATTTTTTAATTGTACCACATCACATAGCAATTAGAAGAGACATTCAAAATATTTATTTATTCAAAGATTTATTTATTCAAAAGATTCATTTATTAATAAATCTTTTTTTAATCCCCTACAACCTATTTTACCTTAGCCCAGGGGTCGGCAACCTACGGCCCGCGGGCCGCATCCGGCCCGCGACGCTTCACTAATCTATAGTAACAAAACATCCGTTTTGACGAATATATTCTTTAGACTAAATTATATTATAACCTAACAATCATATAATTCCCAATTACTCGTTTAATGAGCATGTAATTTAAGCAAATGGCAGCAAAACGCAGAAAAGTTGATGCTAAGTGCAAAGGGTTCAATGGCGCTGAAAATATTCAAATGGAATTTTATGAGATGCAATGCGGAAATAAATCTATATTCTATTCGAGAGATGTATCACTGCTTGATTTTTATTATAAAAAGTACCATCCGTTCGGTTTTTTTAACTTTATTAAAATATGTGCGGCCCGCCAATGACTTGCAACCTTAATTTTGGCCCGCGAGCGACAAAAGGTTGCCGACCCCTGCGGCGTAGCCTATATACATTGCAATTTCTAGATATTATAAATTTTCTGGTTAACAACGCGGCGCAAAAAGTGCATCAACAGGAGCAGTAATGTATATAAGGCACACCTTGTCGCGGTTGACAGATTCAGCTCTTGCAAACCCCGGCCAGAAAATCAGAAATAGGCGTTTTGTTAACTGCAGAACGTTTTGTATGAGTTTGATCGGTAGTAGTATATATTTACGGGTTGATGGGCAGTGAATGCAAAAATGATATTATGCAATACCAACACACTGATGATGTGCTGAATAAATACATCATGATAGAAATTCTATTCCTAACATAGTAAACAACCGATAGATACTGTGCAATCATTGGTCACTCCAAGTTTCATTGTATACCGTAGTTGCTAATTATTTGTAAAATTTCTATTTTTCCACAAAAAAAGGTTTTATATACGGATATTTTAGAGAATACCTAATGACATATAGCCTGAGTGTTTTTCTGATTGTTTGTCTAATTCTTTAGAATTTTCGTTTTCCATATAAAATGATAATGATGGATAAATTGATTATTTTTATTGTATCTTATGACTACTGATAATGGAAAGATGTGTTTCAATAGTCACTGGGTTACATAGATCGCCATTTCACGAACGTGGGCGCAATTTAAGAAAAATATATGGGATAAAATGGGAAAACCTATCTGGATTATTTAATATTTGTCATTATTTATCTTTGTATTGTATACTTATACACTTTATAATATCACCTAGAATCCTAGATCACCTGGGCGTCATGCAACTAAATTGAAATAATTTATTTGAATAAACTAAAACTATCATATTCATGAATCCGAATTGGCAAGCAAAAAAATGTTTTGCGTCGAATAGTTCCGACATATGCTGAGTAGGCCTACTGGCAAACATGCTGACATGACTTCGTTTGGATTGAATTAATGATTAAATATATAGGCTACCCTATTTGTCGACTCACCTGCTTACGAGCTTATGTTGCCAGTCCAGATGTATTTTTGTTTTATGATAGTATTATGGAAGTATTTATGTATTAAATGTGATTAAACCGGTTTGTTGAATACAAAGTTAAAGCGGTCGGTACGGTATGTAATCGAGCTATTATTGTTAATCGGCTTATGTTGTTACGGTCGTAGTGTAATATCGTAATAGTATAGGGTTACCATATTTGAAAAAGCAAAATTCCGGACAGTGCATGACTATGTCGCACAACCTTAGTCCTAACCGGTACACAGAAAGTATGTTCAGGTTGTGCGCCATCTTGGTGCGCATACTTGTTTCTGGAGGTCCCTATTTTCATGAGACCATATATATGCGCTACCGAAATGCTAAGGCTGCAAACGTTGTACGATACTCATGCTAAAGCGCCAGCTACCAAAATGAAAAGTATTGTCTTCAGTCACAAGCAGAATCTCACATCAGGCAGGTAAGCACACTCTAAATATAGCTACGGGCCGTCGACTGGAAAAATCTCAACTTCAGAGTGAAAAATAAGAATGAGAATTAGATTGTGCCGAAACGGAAGAACAGCAATTACATGCTTAAAACAAATTAAAGACAATCACTACAAATTTACTCTTCTGGCCATGCATATTTTTCTGGAGATCTAATTCTCTTCTTGTCTGATTTCAAAAATGAAAACAATTCACTACAGTGCATATCATACGGTATGGCAACCCTATAATAGTAGTCATAGTCAAGTTTTAACGGTAATGCATAAGGGTACGGTTTTCCAGATTGATTGGTATCAACCCTGGGCCCGTCGGAGTAAACGCTGTAACTCCTTAAATTAACGCAAAACAAAAATCTGATATAAAATGAGAGCCGAAACTGCTTGGATAACGAGAAACAAAAAATGTGATGTGAGTATAAAAAAAGTCTGCTTGACGCTGAATGAAAATCAGTTTTACCTACTCAATTTTCCATTGAAAGAGAGAGAGTGTGTTTTTGAGAAAGAGTAATCAGGTCTCGTTTCCCTGAGCCACGACTTCCTTAACATCGGCCAATCAAGAAGATGTAGAAAGTGACGTATCAATAGACCTTTATTTATCCGCTCAGACATTTTTTTGTCACTCAGACAGATTTTCATGCGCGATCGTAAACATTGCCTCGTTTTCGCGTTTTTTTATTTCATCAGTTAGTTTTCAGTTGTGTTTCGGAAATTTAAGTATAAATTAATTAAATTCAATGATTACTTTGTCTACTTAGAAGTTTCAGTTTAATTGCAATAATCAAAAATTAGTGTAGAAAAAACTGCGTTAGACAGATTGTTGAGTGCTTAGAATCAGAAGGATGATTTGAAACATATACCGGTACCGGTACCGTATCCAGTTTTACAGGCGCCAACTCGCGAAACCACTGTTAAAATGAGCCCTAAAAATATTGCAATGGTAGAATATCGGAAGTATTATCCGAGAGTCAAAGGTCGGCAAGACGTACAGATATTTATTTTTGAAAAAAAATTGGGCATCGGCAACTGAGCATATTTTCCATAGAGGTACGGTATATAACTTACATATGAAATATGGAAAATAAATATTGGAAACAAGTATAAAGAGTTATGTTGGAAGTTAATTCATAATGGGTTGCCCACTGGAGACAAAATAAAACACTGGTTCATTGATGAGCCAGGAATGTGTGTCTTATGCGAAAATAATGTTGAAGAAACTGTGTGTCATTTATTTTTAGAATGTGACTGGTCTAGTGATTTTTGGCAATGGTGTTGAATAGGATATAGGATAGGATATACATATTCATCCCGGGGGAGAGGAAAGCCGATAAGACGGCTTATCCATATGGCGAACCACGGCCTCTCGTCCGGTTACCATTCCAAGTCGGATACCGGTATGGGATTAGTTATATTGTTTGTTTTCGGAAGCATGGACTTGGTGGTGGAGGAAGCCGTAACCGACCAGCGGTTACGTGAACCACCCAACGACGGCGAGAAGTCCAGCAATCCTCTCGCACATAACCATCCCTGCATGGGATTCGAACCTGCGAACCCACGCAGAGTAATTAGAGGTGCGGTGGCGAGCGTATTCCTAACGCTCAGCCCGTTGAGCCACACCGCCGCGCCAGATATTAATCAAAATACTATTATAGCAAACGATTCGGAATGCAAATCAAAATTAATCACAATATTATGCGGAAAATCAACAATTTGGGAATATCGGAATTCAGTAAAATATGATGAAATAGATAAAATGAAAAGTAGTATGCATTCAATTTTCAAGTGTAAACTGGTCGGGATTTTAAATTTACTAAAAGCAAGCGAAAGAAAAGAAATGAATTAGGCTATTGTTATATGAGCACATGGATGATCTTTTACATAGGTCAATCATGATGTAAGTTTATATGCAACACCATACTCTGAAAATTATTGAAAGTATGTTATTCGTACATCATTTTCATAAGAGGAAGATGTATCGACTATGAAACATAGATGGCGAATGGGAAAAACCCAATATGAAAGCGTGGATTTTTCCATATTCTCTGTCTAATTTTTGTATTCTTGTATTTTTCATGCTAACTAAAAAATTAAAATAAAAACTGATTACCTGTAAATTAAAATTATATTCAACTATCTGCTGATTGGATTACATGTGGATTAACTCAACTTTTTTGGACATATATTGGATTATATTAAATTAACGACATCATGGTAATGGTATGAATTTTGTCTTTATTTTGATTTTTACTATTCATATGTAGCCTATTGGGGGGAATGGGATTAAATTAAAAAACGATAAACAAAAACATGGAAACAAAAAAAATATCTATTCATATATTCATAATAAAATGATTTGATACCAAAATATTAATACGAAAATTCCGTTTGGCATTGGAATTTATTTGGCACAAAAAAAAAAAGGTATATAACTTACACCTCAATGATACTTTCACGTTAATATTACTGCTATACTGAGTTGCCGGTGCGGTACCGGTACGGTACATTTTTTGTTTGGCGTTATTTAATGGGCACCGTACTTCGCTGGACCCGTCTGCCCGTTAACATATCTTATTCTGGCACTGGCAAATTGATTGAATTTCAGGACAATCTGGACAATCTAGTAATGATACGGTGTCGGTACCGGTAACGCCGACGGTAGTGTATTATCTTCATCCTAATTTATTTATCTTTACCTTCATCTCAATCTGGTAGATAATCTAAATTCATAGAAATAGACTAGGTAGACTACCGGTATGGAAAATTATGAGCTTGTAACGAATATTGGTAAAGGATCAAGTGGTTACGTTTTTCTTGCAAAAAGTTTGAAGACGAAGGTAGGTGTTATGTAGGTAAGCTTTCATATGCTGCAATTGCGGCGCACTTTACAGATCGACAGACATTGTCTCGTTTCAGAGAATACCGGTACCATTTTGTAGATGAACAAACCCTCTCCTTTGCTTTGGGGGACGTCTGGATGGACATTGTTGTCCCTCAATACAAAACATTTTTATGTTTGTTTGTTATGGAGTTTTCGAAATAAACCATCTATCTAATATCGGTAAAAATACAGTAAAATGAATTTGTGCAAAAAACTACAAAGAAACGCAATCTAAAAACTTAATCATGGAATTCCTTGGGAAATAATAATCCGTTCTGAGCCTACCGAAGGAAAATTTTTTCTACTGTAGCATTCAACTGTTTAGCAAAAAACGGCAATTTTGTTGACATGATGACTGCGATTAATTTTGATTATTGTTGAAACATGTCGCGATATGACGCATCTGCCGCCATGCCAGATGCCCTTTGTTTGAGATACACATGGCTGCATGGAGTGTTTTATTGAACTAAAATGACGGGACAATCTTGGACTTTGGATAGTGTGCCATACGTACTGTGCTGACATGGGTCTCCCTAAAACCATGACCTGATGACAGTCGCCAAATTTTTTCTCCATATTTTCTATAGATTGGTTTTGTCAGAACTTGCTATACTTTGCATTTCGAATCAAATTGTTTTTACTGAGACAGTTTGAACATTTTCAATAATCCAAGCATCATTCCTGTTTAACAGAATCTAAGGTCGATCATCTCGCCTTTGTGGTTTATTTAAATTGGAATATCAATTAAATCATGGCAACTCAGAGGACAAAATAAAAAATCAGGCACTTGAGAAATTTCAGGCACTTGATGGTTTGCTACTTTTAGAATGCTAATTGGTAGCACTAACACTGATGTATTTACCGTAATTCACTTTTAACCAAATATATTTCCAACAACGAGACAAAACAAGTAATGTCACGGAATGACAAAAAGTTGAATGCATAAAATGACTGCGAAATATCAACCAAATTTCGTAAAAAGTGTCATGACATATCATGTATAATAAATTGTTTTGGTATTCTAGAGCTATTAGTCTCTACATTTACCAGCAACATTTTTTGTACAACAAACATTTTTCTGGAAGCAGCTAAATATACAGCTTAACTAGTTGCATGTGACTTCGTGACAAACCAAAATATTTATTGTAAACAGAGGTATCATACTTTATTTTAAAATCTGAAGTTTTATAAAAACTTGGTTAAATTTGGTAGTTTAATCAATAGTTGAAGATGTATGGAAACACAGAAGTATGGATACACAACAACCATGATTTAATGGATTTTTCAACTGAATATTCGTTACTATTATTTTCATCGCACAGTAAAAAATATTTAATATAGTGTAGTAATTCTATCCAATTGAAGAGTCCAGCTGTACACTAACACAAACTGCTTGTCTGAGGAAGTCTGACTCTGGTCAGACGAAACGTTACAGAAATACATTTGTGTTAGTGTGCAGCTGGACTCTTTAATTGGATAGAATGGTCATGTTTATTCCAGCTACAGTATCCTTGCAGTATACGCATACGGATCCACTAGCATAAAGGCATAGAGAAAAGATAGGAAGTTAGTCTCGCGCAACCCAACTCAAATTTAGTGTAGTAATTGTTGTGAATATTTATTTAATATTGCTTTATTTCTTAGAAATTAACTGCAATCAAAAAGATTGAAATTGATGAAAATCGCAGGTCAAGATGCAAAAAATCAGTAGTACTTGAAGCATCGATACTGCGACGCCTCGTCCATCCACATATTGTTGAATGTGAGGAATGGTTTTTGGATAATGAGGTGAAACTATTATCTTTTATTAGATATTTAGGTAAAATCTGTTGAGTTAATTCACCTTGCCATCAATTCATATGGCTTGAAAAAATATACATTTTCACCACAAGTTGTCACCACAAATAACAGAATATAAAGTCAGACTTGAGACGCATGTTGCCTCTGCCTAACCAAAGTACCGAATGACGTCTGGAGACCAGCATGGCAGTATTTATACCCAGGAAGCATGCTTCCGAATTGTCATCATGCCATACCATACCTGGACAAAATGTAAATAAGAACACAAGTTGACACTTGGGGGTTGGTCCGTCTCTGTTCCTGATTATTCTCGATATATAATGGAATTGTGTGTGTCTTAATCTAATGTTTTTTTTATTCATTTGGTTAAGACTTCTTTCCTAATAAATTATCTCAATTACAGAAAAAAATGATGAACATTGTACTTGAATACTGTGATGGAGGAACAATGCAGGATATGGTGAAACAAGCAAACATCAAAAATTCTTATTTTCCAGAAAACAAGGTCATTGTTGTTATCCTAATATGATTTTTTAAGTTTTTTTTTTTCTGTGTTAAAAGTACCATTTTCAAGTCTCATGTGACATATGCCTCTTATGCTGGTATAACCCTATTTTGTCATGTAGGCTATAATATTAGGAGCTTATGGGACAGAACTTGTGAAAATATTAAATATCAACCTAGGTACTAAAGTGGATGGCACAGATAGTATCTGCGGTTTCATACATGCATAGTAAGAAGATTTTGCATAGAGATTTGAAGACTGAGAATGTTTTCATTGTGAAGTAAGATTATTAATTCACATGTGATATATTTTTCACTATTTGGCAATTTTCAGCCTAGACATACTGCTGTTACAAAAAATCTTACATGAAAAATTCGGTAAAATGTACTTTTATACATTCATTTATTTAAGCAATACTTATCCATTTGATCTTCAAATCAGGAAAAGATCAGTAGGCCAATATGTTTCGCTTTTTAGTTCAGTCATTGAATGACCAGCAGCAGCAGCAGCAAATATTCTGTATCTGTTTTAGGCCAGATATTGCGAAACTGGGAGATTTTGGAATATCTAAGGAGTTCGACCACACATTGGACTTGGCTCAAACATGTGTTGGAACACCTTGTTACTTGAGTCCAGAACTTTGCCAGGATATCCCATACAATTCAAAGTCTGATGTTTGGGCACTCGGTTGCTTGCTTTTTGAAATGGCTGCTCTCAAACCAGCGTTCGATGCAGCCAATCTTGTCAGCTTATTTTATAAAATTGTAAAAGGAGATTTTACATCACTGCCCAAACATAGCTCACAGGATATGCACGAATTGATTGCACTAATCTTGCAAAAGGACCCTGAAAATAGGCCAACCGCATCAAAACTTTTACAACATAAAGCATTATCATGCTATGCAGAAAAATTTTGTATTCTACGAAAAAAATAAACAACCGAAGTGTAGAACAATATCCACAAGTAAGGAAGTCAGACATTGACATTGAATTCATTCAAAGCTCAACCTTATTAACAAATGCTGATGTGGAGAGAAGAATGAGCCCTGGGCCTTCTTATGCCTATAATATGTTTCTATCTGGTATAAATTCGAAACCAATGCTTGAGTCCAAAGATAATTCCACACAGTTTTCTGATCTAGTAAATAGGTCAAATTCTGTGTTGGGAACCAATTCAAAGAACAAACAAAACTCAACTGTTCCAAAGATATTTGATTATGAAGCAAACCAGTCCGGATCTCCGATACCTCAAGAAGTTGAAACAGCGCGACCCCAAACATGTCCACACTCAGCCTCAAAAGCAAGACATATCAAAGGTTTGCTATTATTACCATTTTGGGTTTCTGCCCCCAGTAAGCTATAAAAAAAGTGAGTAAAGGTAGTTGTTTATCACTAAATTTGTTGTCCTTTGCTGTTACATATCTTGCAGTAGCTGCCTCTTAATCATTGTTTTCGATTAAATATTTTTTATGTCTCGATTATTATACAAACTTCCATAACAGAAGAATTGGATTTCAATGATACAGTTGTGACGTGGTCCGGATACGGAGATCAAGGAAGTCATAGTGGAAGGAAAAGATGTGATTCTGTATCGTTATCTAGTGGAACAGATGAATCCTCTGATATTGATACACAAGTGAGAGAATCAGGAAAGATTGGTATAAGGTATTATACTATATAGTTGAATTTTATTGGCCAAATAAACTTTTAATATAATTTTATTTATTATTCTATACAACTTTGCTCTAACCAGGGGTCTCAAGCTCTCAACTTGAGTGAAAAAATACGAATAGATTATCTGATGCAGTATGAACACGAGGTTGTGTAAACAAACAGTTTGAAAAGCTATAGTATCTGGTATAGAAATCAGTAATCGATGTCCAAATCTGTTAATGTAATCCAGTTCCGAAGTTCCTTAATGAGATGAGAAGTTTTTTAACAGGTATTGTGATGATGAAGAAAAGTCAGATAGTAACATATCCTTTGATGAAAATTCAGATTATGATGATGATGATGATTTTATACAAGATGAGCAAGTTGGTAAGTAATAAGTTTAGAAATAATTGAAATTGATGATATCACCAAAATAAGATGACCACTTCAGACTTCTCATGCCAAGCTCATTGGACTGCAAAAGTACGATTATGTGAACTTCTTAAAAAAATGATGTTATTATGTGCAGGGGCGCAGCCGGGATTTTTTCAACGGGGTTTGCGGTGAATTCAAAACAGTGAGCCAAAAGTGCAATTCCAAACCTTTTTTTCTTTTTTTCCAATTGTTAATTAATGTATTTTTCCCGATTACAAAAAGTAAAACATATTATACTGAAACGTTTGCAAATAAAGTTAAGCGATGTTTGCGCTTATTTGCAAGGATCACTCTTGAAGCATTTCCAGATTCTGTGTTACATCTGCACCAGAAATATAATAATACATTTTATTTATTGAGTATAATTCTATGCTCGGTTCAATGACAAATATACCAACTGGATATTCTCGCAGTATGTCAAGTTGCAGCAGTCAAAAATAGATAGTGTAGGCCATCTAGGTGCACCCTGTGGTAGTCTGTTTTACATTTTGGCAATCAAAGGATAGCTTCTATTCATGTTGCTTTTCGCAATGACTATAATCCAAGAATAATATCAGGAGACAGATGCTGAATAGCTTCATATAAAGCTGGTATTCCGGACAAGTCAGTAATTTTTTATAGGTTCAGTTGAGGGTGCTGCTGAAATATTTGCATGGGTTACCACACCAGGTTCATATGTTGATTTTTCAATTGCGGCAATGTGTTTTATATTTTTACATGTTTTGTTTGACTAGTAAATTCCATTAATTTATATCTTTCCTTTTTTTAAAGCATAGTGTCTTTGATTTTTTGGTAGGAATCTCTTCACTTTTTTCAGTTTTATCTGTATCAACTGCATCTTTGGTTAACGTCTTGCTTTTTGCAGGCTTTGCATGATAAAACACTGATCTAAGCTCTTAATCAAATAGCGAATATATTATTATATATCATTTTTCCGACTTGTGACAATTTTTTCGTGATATGAATCAAAAATAACTATATTCGGCACAATACCACGGCAGTCTGTGGACATGAATTGTGTACTAAACTGCGTGATTATTATTAATTTTTGGTTCCTATTTTCGTATTTGAAAATAATAAAAGTATTATTACTCTAAAATACAATGGTGATCTGTCGACTTAAAATGTGTGGTGAACTACCCGATTATGATTAATTTTTGATTCATATTTTCATACTCACGAGAAAATTGTCGCAAGTCGGGAAAATAATATATACTTTATCCCGCATTTTGGCAAATGATTTGGATAAGGGTTGATATTTAGGAGTATGGACTTTTTACTGGGATGATTTTGTGTTGCGCAAAATAATCAAACCCATGGCCGATGCCACTATTTAAAATGACTTGTCGTATTAATTTAATACTGTTAACGTAACTCATGGTTGCGTCGACTTGGGAAATAATTAGAAGCAGTATTATTCTAAAATATATATCGCAGTAATCTGCAAACATGAAATGCTTGGTAATATAGCCAGGTTGTAGACAGGGATGGCCATTTCCGAATACTAAACTATTCCGAATACATTCTAAAATCGAAAATAACACATTGTTTTAGTTTATTAAAACCCAGTAAAATAGGAAATAAGCTTCAATAGAAATATCAGAATAAAGCCACAAACTAACAGTATATGTACACAAAGTAATTGATAGTTTATAGCTATCAATAAAATAATAGCAACTTGTGACACAGTCAGTTTATTAAAATTGTACACTTAGTACAAATGACCATATGAAAAGATAGCCAAGGAGTTGTCTGCCGCTTTCTATCATTGGTACCATGATATTACGATAATAGTCAAGTCTATTGACAGAAATACTATTTGTATTCAGATAATTGTGTATATTTTCTGAGAGTAATAAAATTCATTGGCAATACAGGCAACTGAAGCAAGCAACAATGATCGAATATCCATTATGCCTAGAGTATTCTACTACCTACCAGTATATTTGTATATTAATTTTTTTTTTTTTATATTAATTTATGCGAACCATATTGTTTATTATGTGTAGCATATTGTTATATCTGAAATTAGCAATCAGTTAGAGCAGCGTTTCCTAACCTTTTTTGGTCGCGGACTATATTCTCACTGGCAAAAACCTTTGCGGACTCGACGTGAGTTTATTGCAACCGTACTCTGTGTGAAGTAATAAAACCAAACACAACAGAATTTTACCGAATCTCAAAATCGGAAATGCTACGCAATTACGCCTTTGTTAAAAGGGCCGACTTCTTTAGTGTATAAATGGCCTTTTCTGTCGCCCAATATTCAATCCTTGACAACGACAAGAATGTAAAATGTGTTCTTATTTTAATTTAATTTTGTTCATGGTCACTCGCGGTTGCGTTGACTTATGACAAGATGAAAGCATTACTTCTTTTAAATGCCACGGCAATCTGCGAACATAATAATGTGAGAATATACTGCCCGGTTATATTCAGTTTTTATATAAATTATTTGCGATCTTGCGAATTTGTTATCGCCGTTGTACAACT